ATATATTAATAAAAGATTTATAATTAATTTATTTTCTTATAATTATAAATATTATTTTTAATAAATATATTATATATTTATATAATTATTAAAAAATATAAAAGAATTAAATAATTAATATTAAAAAATAAAACTTTAATTTTAAAAATACGAATTTTTTTTATTTTAACGAGCTTAAATTAATGGGCCCGTTTTTAATTATACTTTTTTTACCATAATAAATTTTAATTAATTAAATTATAAAATTTTTTAAAAACATTAAAAACGTGTCATTAATTTAAATTAATTTAATTGTTTTTTCTTTTTATTAATAAATTTTTATTTTTATTTTTTAAAGTTATTAACGTTTTAATTATTAAAAAAGTTTAATTATATTATAATTTAAATATATAAGTTTTATTATTTATATAAAATATAATTAATTTAATTAATACGTTTAAATCGTAATATAATTAAATTTTTTTAATAATTAAAACACGCGAACGCGTAAACGCGTTAACGCGTTTATTTAATTAATATTTAAATATATTATTCGAAAATAAAAATTTAAATTATCTTTTAAATAAATAATACTTTTTATATAAAAAATAATTATTAACTTAATTTTAAATTTATTTTTAAAATTATTAAAATTATTTTAAATTAAGTTTTATAAAATAAATTTTTATATAATAACGGCTTAAAATAATAAATATATAAAAAATTTCGGATATAATATTATTAATTATTTAATTTATTATTAAGTTTCGAATTAATCCGACCGTTAATTATAATATCGTAACTTTAAAATAAATAAATATAATTTTTATTACCGATTTATATGTGAATTTTTTTCCGTTTAAATTTAAAATATTTTTAAGTTACATTTAAACGAAACTTAAAATAATTAAAAAACTTTAAAAATTATTTTATTAACCCGGAAATATAATTTATAAAAAACTTTATACGTAATTATTAAATAATATAATATTTTATATTCGAAAATAAATTAATTTTATATTAATAAAACCGTTTTTAAATTAAATTAACTTAAATTAAATTTTTAAAAAAAATTTATTTATTATATTAACGTTATTTAAATATATAATTATATAATTAAATTAATATATATATATTTTTTATTATATTAATATTATTAATAATATAATTAAAATTAATTAATTATAAAAAAAAATTTATTTATAATAAATTTATAACGTAAATTTTTTTATATAAATTTTAATTAATAAAAAATTTTTTTTATATTAATAATAAAAATTAATTATATAATTTTTTTTTAAATTTAATATTATAAAAAAATAATTATTATTATAATAAAAAAATTTACATTTAAATTATAAATATAATATTAATAAAATAAAAAATTTTTATTTAATAATAAAAATAATAATTATTATGTAATAATTTTATAATAATTTTATTTAAAAAAGTTTTATTTTATTTATTATATAAAAACATTTACATTATATATATAATTTTTTTATATTTTTTTATTATTTTTATTAAAAAAATAAACTTTTATAATTAAAAAATAATAAATTATATTATCGTATAATATAAATAATAAATAATTAAAACGGGTTAAATTTTTTTTAATATATAATTTTTACCCGAAAAATTATTCCGTTATAATATTATATATTTTTTATATAATATATATTATATAATTATATAAAATAATAAATATTTAAAATAAAATATAATAATAATAATAAATTTTTTTTTAAAAAATTAAAAAAATTAATAATATATATATATATATATATTAATTTAATTATATATTTTAATTATATTAATATAATAAATAATTTTTTTTAAAAATTTTTAATTAATTTAAATTTAAAATAATTAATTATTATTTATAATATTATATTAAATTTTATTAAATTAAATTTTTTTTAAAATTTTTTTTATAATTATTTATATATTTTTTTAAAAATTAAATATATAAAATTAAATAATAAATAATATATTTATAATTAATTAAAATTAAAATTTAAAAAATTAAAAAAAAATTTTAAACGTTAATATTAATATTTTATTTAATTTTTTATATATAATATATATATTTTTTATATAATTATTATTTTTATTATATATTTAAAAAAATAAACTTTTTATTATAAAAACTTTTTTTAATTTATAAATTTTTAAATTTTATATTTTTAATATAATTTAATTTATAAATATAATAATTTAACGTAATGGTTTAACGTTTAATCCGCTTTCGATTAATTAACTACCCGTTTTAATTCGAAAGAAAAGGTTTAAATTTTTTAATTATTATAAATTTTATTTTTAATAAAATCCGGACTTTATTATTTTATAATTTAAAGAAGTAACGTTAATACGCCCCCGCTTAATTTACTTTTTCCAGGGTTAAATATTTTAAAAGTTTAAAAATTTAAAAAATTATTAAAATTATTATTAACGGATAAATAACGGTTAAAAAGCAAGTTATTTTTATTTTAAAAAAAATGATAAAAAGGCTTTATTTTATTTTTAATAAATTATTTTAACGATAATAAAAAGTATGTTATTTATTTTATACCCGCCTTTTTTCGAATATTTATTAATAATAAAATAAATTTATTAAAATAATTATTAAAACCCGTAATTATTATTTAAAACCGGTATATTTAAAAATATGCCATTATATTTTTAATAATTAAAAGTTAATTTAATATTATTTTTTTTTTAAATAATTATATAATAAAATATAACTTTTATAATTTATAAATTAAAGCTTTTAATTAAAATATAATAAAAATAAAATAAATTATTATATAAAAAATATAAAAGGTTTTTTATTTTAATTATTATAAAGTTTTTTTTTTTATTATTTTAAATAAAATAAACTTAATAAAAAAACTTTATATTAATTATATAATTATAATATATACGGATAATTAACGGATTTATACCGGTTAAATATATACGAAAATTTATTCCGTAATAATACCGAACGTTTTTTATAAACACTTAAAATAAAAAATAAATAAATAATTTATAAATATAATTTAATTTTTATAAAATTATATTTTTTATATTTAATAAAAATAACCCGTGCGTTTTATTTAAATTTATTTTAATTTTTATTATATTATATATATTTTTTATAAATTTTTTTTTTTAAATTTATTATAATAATAAAAAATATATATTTAAAATAATATTTTTATTATAAAATAATTATTTTTAAAAAAATTATTTTTATTAAAGGAATTATTTTTCGTTTTAAATTAAAATTATAATTTTATTAATTAAATTTTTATAAATTTTATATAAAATTTTTAAAATTTATTTTTTTAATTATTAATAAAATTAATTATTTTATTAATAATTATTTTAATTTAATTATAAAATATAATTATTCGTATTACGTAAAAATATTATTTTAATTAATTTAAATTAAATTTTAAAAAATAAATTATATTTAATTACGTTACGCGTGGTTTATATAACTCGTATTAATATATTTATAAAATAAACGTAACGTTTTTTAAAATTTAATTTAAATTAATTTAATTTAAAAATAATTTTATTAATATAAAATTAATTTATTTTTAAATATAAAATATTATATTATTTAATAATTACGTATAAAATTTTTTATAAATTATATTTCGGGGTTAATAAAATAATTTTCGAAATTTTTTAATTATTTTAAATCTCGTTTAAACGTAATTTAAAAATATTTTAAATTTAAATAAAAAAAAATTTACATATAAATCGGTAATAAAAATTATATTTATTTATTTTAAAATTATAATATTATAATTAACGGTTAAATTAATTCGAAATTTAATAATAAATTAAATAATTAATAATATTACGTTCGAAATTTTTTATATATTTATTATTTTAAACCGTTATTATATAAAAATTCGTTTTATAAAATTTAATTTAAAATAATTTTAATAATTTTAAAAATAAATTTAAAATTAAATTAATAATTATTTTTTATATAAAAAATATTATTTATTTAAAAAATAATTTAAATTTTTATTTTCGAATAATATATTTAAATATTAATTAAATAAACGTATTAACGCGTTTATATATTCGCGCGTTTTAATTATTAAAAAAATTCGGTTATATTATAATTTAAACGTATTAATTAAATTAATTATATTTTATATAAATAATAAAACCCGTATATTTAAATTATAATATAATTAAATTTTTTTAATAATTAAAATATTAATAATTTTAAAAAATAAAAATAAAAATTTATTAATAAAAAAAATAATTAAATTAATTTAAATTAATAACACGTTTTTAATGTTTTTAAAAAATTTTATAATTTAATTAATTAAAACTTATTATAATTAAAAAAATATAATTAAAAACGGGCTTATTAGTTTAAGCTCGTTAAAATAACAAGGGTGTAAGTCCGAAGCCCACCCTTTTTAAAATTTTAACCGTTTCTAAATCTTTTACCCACTTATTGAACAATTCAACCAATCAGAGCCCAGTATACCTAAAGCCATTGGGCTGACAACAATCATTTGCGTGACAAAAACGTTATCCTCCAATTGAATCGTAGTTATGGCTAAAATGATTTTGCGTACAACAACCATTTTTGGCACCCACCTACTGCCGCTGCGGTAGATAGTCTGGCAACCAATCTGAAACGCTTTGAGCTGAGTCTTACCACATGCAATCAATTGGACCATCACATTACTTGTTTTCTTATATATACCCGAACAATAAAAACTATGGCTTCAGCGTTGACACCGGGACTCAAGGCCATTAACGCATTCATACTTCAAAGGCTTAAGTTTTTCTATCAGCTGGCACGACAAGAATTATTATGGGCCGCCCATACTAGGATGGAACGGTTTCATCGAGTGCTAATCCATTAATACGGTGTCGAGTTAAACTTACATTCCATCTGCCCGAAACCTTGATCGACTTCTTGTAATGAACGTAAGTGACTTTTACAACACATGCAACAAATCGGTGTCCATACGCTCACTTTAAATAATCCTCGGCCGGGGCTATTAAAATTACCTAAATAAGCTAGTCTTTATAAGGATTTCTTTTAGTACTAAATACAATTTTTCAATATAATATCCCTTCGGAAACTTAGGGTATAATGCAAGCTACTAAAACAATACCTTGTACTATCTAAACAACTGATTCTTCAACAACCTTCCATTCCTTCTTAACCGTGATAGCTTTCAACTCCAAGTTGGTATAATGGTTATCTGCTCCATGGGAGGAACCGAAGGAACTACCATCTGCCTCGGCAGCTGACCCACCACCACCAAATTTCGACTGTTCCATGTGTAGTTGTCTTGTCGAGCCGTCGTCGTCCTGGAGTTCTGAGAACCCCCCCATTCGAGGAGCCGAGTGAGCTCCGGTACCACCAATAGTAATAGTGCCGTCGGCGTAGCTACTGGCCTTGACTGAGGAATTTTTTCGAGATACTAATGGGCGGAGAAGTGGGATACATGCTGCAGTTACCAGCAGAGAGGGTTCTAGTGCACTAAACGCGAGTGCGATGCCGCCGGAATATGGGAAGTCGTCCATGTTGATTTTGATAATCTCGGCGAGTCGGACGGCGCTCACAATGCAGACTCTGTATCTCTATGTGTTAGCTGGCGCAGTCAGAAGATGGAAAGCAGGAGTCGGCCACTTACGCAAGCCCGATCCCAAAGGTCACTATTAATCCAATCTTTTTGTACAGCTGTAGCGATAGGCCCCAAATATGTGGCATGGGGAGGAATATAATAACTAGGTCACTGAAGATATTGAGCCCTCCGGTTACAGACCACAACATCCTAATGTTGCCACAGCTTCCCTCGGTCGAGAATCTGTCCCAGTTGTACGAAACCGGCGTACAGATAGTGAAGGCACCGATCACCAGGACCATGGCACAGAGCACGACGAATACGGCACAGGCTTGAGCGGCAATGACGAAGCTCGTGACGCAGAAAATCTTGGTGTATAACGCGAGGATGGAGAGTTTCGTTAACCCGAGACTGACGGCCCAGAAGATGACGACAGCGGTTACAAGCTCCAGGAGAAGGGTTACCGCATTCTCTCCTCCCATCGCAAGGACCTCAGTCGTGTGGTATCCCATCCCCCCAACCACAGCGCAGGTGACTGCAAGTGCTTGGTATGCGACTGCGACGATCTGAAGGATTGCATTTGGTTAGAGACTTCCCGTAGAGACGCAGGCATACTCGAGCGAATAAGAAACTTACACATGCTAAGATGATAAGCCAGTCGCTCAGATCAAGAGTGTGATTCTTTATTCTCGACCGCGCCACCATGCGCAGAAAAACGGCAGTCACCGGTATCAATGAGAAAACCACTGCGCTTCCGATGAGAATCTTCTGGCTGGTACGCTCAATTGGGAACACGTACGCCATGGCGGACACTGCCTGTTCAGAACTCTCCGGTCGAAGTGCGGGCCTCGGTCAATACTCGAAAAACAGTCACCCGTAGTGGCAACCCGTCCAGTAAGTGAATTGAGCTTTTTGGGTCCGGTGTGATAGCATTTAACGGGCCTCAGTCGTTATAAGGGGAATTCATGCCTGTTCCATTAAATATCGTACTATACATGGTAATTTCCATACTTTGGTAACAAGACTCCCGCTAGTAGGGGTACAACAACCAACAGTTTCAGTGCGTAAGGGGTAAGACTATGGGTAAATCAGGCTTCTTATACCCGAAGACATATTAACATCCATTTAATACTAAACTTTAGTCGTTATAAGGGGAATTTTATTCTTATAAGCATTTTGGATATACTCACCACGTCAACATGAGATTTGCGGCAAGTAAATCAAATGCCAACCCTATTAATCACTAATACTACAGGTGGAAATATGTCTGTTTAGCGTATCACGAATATTATTTATTACCTCGGTAGAGAACCTCTTCTCTCCTTTCTCTTGCTTGAGGGTCGGTTTATGCTAAGGGACTACTTTCTTTGCAAGTGTTACGAATTTCCCGTCGATGATCTCCTCATCTTCACGTCCAGGATAACTGGTCGGGTACCATGTCCTCCTATCCAGTTCATGCAAGCATTCTGAGTCGGGCACTATGCTAACCTCACAGAGCTGCCCTCGCTCTCTTTCTCGTTGTTTGCATCGAAACCGTACTCTGACCGCCGCCTGCGCCGCTCAGCCCTTGAACGCTAGGATAGCCACCGCCCCAGCCCCTCCCATCACGGACGCTCCCGGCTTGAAGGACCCGCCAGTACGACGACTATCATTTTCCCGTCGTGGCGGGCTTGTGCTATCTAACAACGGCGCAGCATTCGCCTGATACTCAGTCCGTGTTAGTATCATATCATATCGAATGATTATTGATGTGTGGGTCGAAGAATGGATATTCTATCTCTTCAAGTGGCAGTTTTCTTCAGCCAAGGATAGAGACCACAGATACAAATTTGAAATAACAGAGTGGGTGCTCTTGACCAATTAAAATCGAACTTTTATGAGTACTCGTATGCTGTTGTCAATGCTTCAATGTACCATCCCACCTAATCCCTGGCTGACGAAAACTGCCACTTGAAGAGGTACATTTGAAGGAGCTTGAACAGTGGCACGTAATTACTAAGTAAGGTTAGGAACTTATGAAACGGGATATTGACCGGGTGTTGGGGTAGCTAAATACTTCCCCCCCTTTAAGAGGGATACTTTTTGTATACGCCTCGGGCCGCTTGCCACGTGGCGGGCACACTACTACGTAGGAATGGCTTTCGGTTCTGGATGTTTTTAGGGGGCCGGAGTCATCGTCAGCTGCGTAGGTCCACACCGTTTTGTTTATTTATACAGGAGGATACGAAGAGCATTTCGTTCTTCAAAGCACTACTTACACCGATCAACAATCCCCAATCTGTGTAGCCATCAACCGTCGCGCGCCTAAAAGAACAGCGAGGAGAAACAATGGCTTTTGGCGTCACCACACCCGAATTTTCCGAAGGCTGCGCCGTGGTCTTTGGCGGCTCGGGCGGCCTCGGCCGCGCGAGCGCCGGCCTGATGGCGGAGCGCGGTTCCAACATTGTCGTCACCTACCGGTCGCGCCCCGCCGAGGCCGAGTCCCTAGTAGAGGAACTGCGCAAGCTCGGGCGGCAGGCGAGCGCGGTGGCCTGCGATGTCACCGATCGCAAGGCGGTCGAGGCCGTCTTCAAGCACGCCGTGGAAACGTACAAGCGGGTGCACACGGTAGTGTCCGCCGGCGGCCTCGTGTTTGACACGGGCCCGCTGGCGGGATTCAAGGAGGAATCCTTCCGCGGCGTCATCGAGACCGACGTCTACGGCTTCTACAACATCGCCCAAGTCGGCGTGCCGGTACTGCGTGAGGGCAAGGGCGGCTCGTTCGTGGCCCTGGTCACCAGCGCGGTGAGCCGCACCGTGCCGTGCGATGCGCTCTCGGCCACGCCCAAGGCCGCCGTGGCAATGATGGTGCGCCAGCTCGCCACCGAGGAGGCTGCTAACGGAATCCGCGCCAACGCCGTGGGACCCGGCGTTATCAACGCCGGTATGGTGTTGCCGATGATGGGAACGCCGACGCGGGCGCTGTTAGAGGCCGCCACCGAGGGGACGCCGCTGAAGCGCTGGGGCGAGGCAGCCGAAATCGCCGAGGCAGTCGCGTTCTTGGCCTCGTCGAAGGCGTCCTTCATCACCGGCCAGATCTTGATGGTCGACGGCGGCCTCGCTGCATAATTCAGACGGAACCCGCGCGGACTTCAGCTTTGCGCGAGGCTTGCCGTAGCATGAATTCGGTTTATAACGAGGGGGGGGGGGGGGGGGGGGGGGAGTTACAAATATTGGGGTACGTTTTAGTGGTTGGTGGGTTTTTGGAATTTTTAGCCGAACACAAATTACGCGTGGATACCAAAAAAATT